CCAGCCAATAATCTTCCCAATGTAGTTACTAGCGTTTCAAATAATGATTCTCTTAGTAATCCTTCCAATGACCTGCTCGACAATTTTGCCAATGACCCTCCCCAATCATGCTTAAGATAATCCTCAGCCTGATCCCCGCAATCATCCTCACAACAATCTTCCCACTGATTCTTTTAATAACCCTATCATAGATCTCCTTAATTATTCACATAGTTAGTCTCTTTATTATCTTCTCAAAGATCCTCCTGAATGATCCTTCTAAATCCTTCAAGGATTTCCCAAATGACCATTCTAATGAGCCTACCGACTAACCTAACATTGTTCTGGCCTATGTCCATCTACTGATCCTGTTAGATATCTTATCAACGAACCTCATGAATCCCTACAATTACCTCCCAATTAACATACTAATAATCCTTATAATGCTCCCCATAATGACCCTCCAAATAATTCTTATAATCATCTTGCCCAATATCCACCCAGCAAACACCCTGTCGATTATAATCTAAATAGTCATAATTATTCATTTTATGATCCCTACAACAATCCTTCAGTATGGAAGGTGTTAGCTAATTTGAGCAACTAGCCATATAATTGATATCAAAGGAAGAAAAAGGTCTAAAGTCGATTACATTCTACTGACTATCGTGTACTTGGCCAACGCTCGGGTCAGGAACTTACCTTGATCTTCTCCTCGCCACTGACTGGGACCTGATCGACAACCATGATACGGACCGCTCGATCAAAAGTATTCTTCATCTCGATAGTCTGCTTGAATGTAAGCGAGGCATATTTGCTGCTCGTGCTATGCCCGTCGCGGTACTTGAACATAGGCCGGTAGATAACTTTGATGCCTTGCTCGACGCCTAAGTGACAGATAAACTCTTCACCAGGTGAAACTGCGTTCAACTCGGACTAAACCAAGAAAGTTGAAATAAAGAAAGGAGGGATAGTGTAGAGAAATGAAGTGTAAGGAAAACCAACGAAATTTATTCTTGTCACAAATTCACAGATTTAATAAGACAGTAAAGCAAGTGTGGCAAATATTTTATAGGACTAAGTAGATATCTCGAAATTTTCATTAAAATAAGCTAGCAAATAGGAAAATAAATGCACAACATCACAGTCCCACAATATCAGTGATAATTGAAAGCTTGTGGCATGACTCTTCATATCGAAGGGAAAGTTGGTTGGAAGGAATTCGTGATGTGGTCTCACCGGAAACCGAAGGAGGATCGTCGCGTAAGGAAGACTGCTGATTTGTGTGAAGAAGTCTTTGGCTCCCCGTCCTGTGGCCCGGATGAATCTGAGCTCGCTGCATACATGACAACTACGGGACACTCAACGATTTGCAGGTTACGGAGACTTCACGTCAAAACGTAAGATTAGGGAGTCGATAGAAAGTAACAAAACAGCCAACGTCCTGAATAGGAGGAACGAGTGTAGAA